TTGGATGATGTTCATCTATTTTGTTAAGTAGGCTTTTTTCAAATTCGCAAACCAAGAAAATTTAGCGTGTCCACAGAATTTGCCAAGCTTGGAAAATTTCTTAAAATTTTATATTTGTTTGTCATGAATTTACTTATACCATGACGAAAGATTATTTTTACCAAATTATGTAGTTGACGTGAATCCACCCAGAGAAAAGTCGCTCAAAACTACTGACGCAATTCACGCAGTCATTTGTAACTTGTAAAATCTGTGTATTTTGTACCATGATTTTAAAAATTGCTACAAAATAAAAAGCCGCCGCCTTGATTTGAGCAAGCTTAAAAAAAATTTGGAGCTAATTTTTGTTCGAAATATTTCCAAAATTTTGTAAAAATTTGTATATAGGTTTACGGATTTTGCAATGTTACCAAAGCCTGTGTGAATTTCCTCATTAATTGCATGATTTAAACAAATTTCAATGTACCAAGTTTACAAAAAGAATTTGTACTCTAATTTTTCTCGAAATATTTCCAAGATTTTGTAAAAGTTTGGATATTTAGAGATTGTTATTAGAGAGTTGATGAGTAGATGTTGTTAGAGATTTAGAGAATGTTACCAATGGGCCCTCCTGAATTGTGTCAAAATAGGATAAAACGTTATTTTGTAAGTGAATAAAAAATGTGCACCCTGTCCGCCTCGCACCCAGTTTTTCCTGGGAAAGATTAAGATGTAAACTGGCTCTTGAAACTTTTCTCTCTCATAAAGCAAGCAAGATGAAACACGTTAATGCCACGAACTGACATCTTCCCCGGTAAATATGTACGACATACTGCTCCCTTCATGTGTCTACCAGTGGCCGCGGAAGGGTGAGGGGACAATGTCCCCACGGTTGTTCGATGTATGTCCCTCCATCTCCCCATCTTTAATAAACCGTTCTTAATGTCTCCACGACTTCCGCGGCCACTGGATTGTCTCAAAAACTGGGTGAAAGTGAGTCGTTGGGAGGAATCAGTGGCCGCGGAAGTTTCAGGGGCAATGTCCCCACCTTTTACAAACCCCTCCCTCCCCTATCCCACAATATTAACGTCCCCCAATGTCCCCACGGCTTCCGCGGCCACTGGCATGTCTCAAAAACTGGGTGAAAGTGAGTGAGTCGTTGGGGGGAATTATTTGTGCATTTTGCATGATTCCATTATGAAAATTGTGCCCGGGTTGGTTGGGTGGGATCGGGGAACTGATTTATTTAGGAGGACGAGCACTTATCATTTCTCGTGTTGGTTGGGAGAAGAGAAAGTTGTTACTAATTGTGAACGATCGTTTGTCTTTATTACGACCCCATCTTTCCTCTTTAGTCGAAAATGCTCCTTCTCCTCCTGCCTTATGGATGAAGGAGGAGAAAAACTGCTCGAATTTATGAATAACTCAGAACAACAACGGGCCTTATCCTCTGGCTTGGTGTGTCTATACTTGTGTGGAGTGTAAGCAAGCAGGAAGGTGGTGGTGCTAGTGCTCCGTCTGAGTCGGGATGATTGAACTCGGAATTTTAAGGTTTCTTTTCTGGTGGAGAGGGATTAGGTGACAAGGGTTTTTTGATGGTTGGAGGAGTGTGGATTCAAATTCGGGATTTTTGAGGGTTCGAGACCTTAAAATAGGAATTTAGGCTTGTACGAGATGTTAAAATCAGAAATAGATTTCAGAAATTTCAGAGATTTCAGAATCAGAAATAGAGATTTTTTTGCGGGGTTGGAGACATTAAAATTCGTCTTGTTTGAGATATTAAAAGTCGAAATTGAAATTTTTCGGATCCGAAAGGTTAAACTCGAATTTAGAATTTGTTTTAATCGCGACATTAAACATCAAAATGGAAATTTTGGGGATCCAATACGTTAAAATAAGAATCTAAAATTCGTCTTATTTGCGATATTAAAAGTCGAAATTGGAATTTTTCGGATCCGAGAACTTAAAATTGGTCTTATTCAAAATTTTAAAACCTGAATCTGGAATTTTTCTGCCGAATGCCAAAACCCGGCTCAACTCAGCTTCGTGAGGAGCACCCTAAGTGTGCCCCACTATACTAAGTATGTACATAGCTGTACATGCTGCTGCTGGGCTTACTTTCACCTTGGTCGTTCCTTATCTGCGAGGCATCACACCAGACTTTCACTGACTCGGCAATTATGGTCGTAATAATCACGGGATTTTCTCATCTCTACTCCACTCCGCTCTCTGGTGTATAGTCAGTTGTGGGTTTTTAATTATGATGAGTTGATGCCACGAGGTACGTACAGACAAACAGCCAATTCCCTCGAGGAGGAAAAGAATGAACGTGTTCAGATCATACCAGTCTGAGTGAAAGTGTTGCCTTATTTATGACGAGGTGCTGGATGGATGGGGACAGTGGCCGCGGAAGGAAGGGTGGAGACATGGGGACAATATGCCCTCACGGTTGTTCGATGTATGTATCATCTGCCCATCTTATATAAACCCGTATCTTTTCTTATTATCCTAAATGTCCCCGATGTCCCCACGGCTTCCGCGGTAACTGGATGCGGGTTGCGTTAGTTATAACGAGCTTGAAGACGAATGAATGCGGACAATGGCCGCGGAAGGACGTGGGGACAAAGGGACGATGTCCCCACGATTTGCATCTTATAAAAACCTCTGCCTCCTCAATTCTACAATATTAATGTCCCCACGGCTTCCGCGGCCACTGATAACGAGGTGGAGGCTGGATCGCTGGATCCCACAATGGCAGCGGAAGGAAGTGTGGGGACCGAGGGACAATTTCCCTACCGTTATGCGATGTCTGTCTGTCTTATATAAACCCGTCCCTTACATATTATCTTAAAACTTTAATGTCCCCCAATGTCCCCACGGCTTCCGCGGCCACTGAAGACGGAAGTAGGTATTTAGGAGAAAGTCAGTCCTGCCTGCCTGCCTGGTTGGTTGGTGGGGGATCAACATGTGTTTATTTATGCGTACGTACATACAAAAACATACGTGTTCCGGACGGAATCAAATTGAATCGTTCAAATCTTATCAACTTTATGGACACGTTTATTGGATAAGAATTGTTGGTGGGGGGAAATAAATTGGGCGTTTTATTTTTATGCGGAGAGAAATAATAAGAAGTGAAAGCTGTATTTTTAGGTTTCATTTCTTGCCGGTGGACTACATTTTTTGCATTTTGCAATATTTTGTTGCACATTTCATGCAGTGCAAAGTAAGAATTGCGAGGTGGGAGAAAGTGCGAGAAATAGGCGCCATCTAGCCACACGCCGCATGAAGTATTTACCGCGGCGGGACATATGTTTCTCCCACCTTGCATTTCTCCCAGGTCAAAATATTCCCCTGCAAGAAACTACTTTCTTTCTCCCCCTTATTTCTTGCACGTGGTTACTTACTCTCACCCGAAACACTGGTCGTACATATTTTGCCGTAGAAAATTGAATAAGAAATTGTCAAAACAAATTACGAATTGTGAATGTAATTTCTACATTTATTAAATATCCGTACATTTTTCTTAAGGTACGTTTACACAAAAATGTACTCCTTCAAATGTGTCATCAATACTTAAGATATAGCAAGTTGGTAAAGAGTGAAAGATCTTCTTATTCTTGGCCTGGTCCCCAGTGAAAGTCACACTTTTCGTGCCATGCTTTTCTAGTAATGAGACTTTTGTTCCACGACAATGTCCCCACGGTTGTTCGATGTCCGCATAATTTGCTCATCTTATATAAGCCTATCCTACAATGTTAACGTCCTTAAACGGTTTCCAGAAAATTTATCCGGCCTTGAAAACTTTAAACGCGAATAAGTAATTGGTCTTACCCCCAATCTCAGATTTTGAAGTTCCCACATTTTTTTGAACTATTTGTGCGGCTTCATAATAGTCCATCTTGTCGCAAATTACCCCAAGCCACCCACGTACAGGATCCATACCCATCCTCCCGGCTGGACCGACCCACCCGTCTGCCGGGGTTTGGTTTTAGTTCGAGAATGCGATAATCGCCTCTCTGAGAGATGTGATACCCGGGCAGACGCCACCCTGCCAAAATTCGGTGAGACTTGCTCCACCCGGATTTCAATATTTAATGACATTTGTGCCTCCTCTGTAAAACGGTGGGATAAATGGCAGGCAGGCAGACAGTAGTTTGTTCTCTAATCTGCCCTGTCACGTCCAACTTCACGAAATGAGGAGCTGTTTGTATGTATGTGTTCCTAAAGGAGGAGGAGATGCCTCGGTATTTTTCACCTCTCCGAACTTGCGGTTTTCCACGATGATCATCATGATGCAGACTTTACAGTTAAAGTGGAAAGTTTCACGGCCCAAGGTTCGAAAGGTAGCAGACTTGTCTTGGGGGGAAGATCAGTAGTTGGTTGGTGAGGTCTCAGAGACAGTTCCCACGCCCAGGAATACCGTAGCACACCGATTGGGGGGCGTGCATGTGTAACGGGATGAAAAAACGTAGATTTTTAATTTTTACACTTCACAAGGGACGTCTCCCATGGGATACACTCCGATATTGGGCAAATAAGTGTCAATCGATGACGAATTTAATTTGTATGAAATTTTGGAAAGATAAGATTTCCCAATGGGCACGTTTGGCCGATATAGCTGCATTCGAAGAGGAGAAAACGTGCCTTAAAGTCGACAAATTTTACACTTTTCGAATTTACTATGCATTTTCTCCTCTTTGGATGCAAATATCTCGGCCAAACGTACCATTGGGTGATCGTGTCTTTCCCAAATTTCATACTAATCAAATTCGTCATCAATTGACACTACCTTCCGAAAAATCCGAGAGCACCCGCTGAGAAATCTCCCTTGTCACTGAAGCTGTTAACCTTAAGATAACCGACCTAAAACCCCACCTTTTTGATTCCATAATACATGCACGTCCCCATCCAGGTCACACCAACACCACAGACATACCCCAGAAAATTTCTTGCACCAAAAACTGCCAAGGGCTTCTTCTTCCTCTCTCTAAAAACTTTGTGTGTCTCTTATAATTTAGCCGTTCTGGAGCCTGCTGTCGGACCAATCGTAAATATTTTGCACAACGCTGTCACTTTGTATAAACGAACTATTGGATCTCGTCAAATATGTACGCCATCCGTCAGGTAAGCCCAAGTCTTGTCTGGTCTGGTCTCATTACTCTTTTACATGCCCGTCATTCCTGCTTCCTCTCTCTCGCTGGGTGCCCATCTGCCAATTAAAATTTCAAATCCCGTCATATTTCGAAAGCCAGGTGGTTTGGTTTGGTTTGGTTTTCCATTTCATGAAAAGTTTTTCTCCGACGACGCCGTCGTCCTTTCAAATTCAAAGTTTACTTTCTTTCGAGAGACTTGTTCGGTTTCAGACAGGTTTTGTTTCCCATTTGCTTTTCGCTTTTCAAGAGGTGGAGCCAGAGGTTTCTTTGTTTGAGGAGGGAAAAGTTTTAGTTGGGAGGGAGGTTGGGAGGTGGTACGCAGTGGCCGCGGAAGGGGGAGGGGAAAGGGGACAGGGGCAATGGGGTGTTTGATGGTCTGCCCATGTTAGGCAAATCTGTACCTACCCTATATTAGAATTTTAACGTCTCCGGATGTCCCCAAGGTATTAGATATGTTCCCAGGGTATTAGATGTCCCCAGATCTTCCCAGGGTATTATATTCCCCAGATTTCCCCGGATATTAGATGTCCCCAGATCTTCCTGGGTATTAGATGTCCCCCGTTGTCCCCAGGGTATTAGATTTCCCCAGGGTAGTAGATGTCCCCAGATGTCCCCGGGGTATTAAATGTCCCCATCATCTCCCCATCATCTTCTACAAACCCCTTTCTCCCCTCTTTCACAATATTAACGTCCCCCACATGTCCCCAAAGTTTATTCAAATCCACATCTTATACTCACCCCTCGTCCTCCAATACTAACATCCCTCTTGTCCCCTCCCCGCACCTTCCGCGGGCACTGCTTACTTACTAAATTTTAGATAATAGGGAATTTGAAACCAAACGAGTTTGGTTGGTTGGCAGTCTAGCGAGTTCATTTGCGTCCCCCACTTCACCCGAGAGAGAGAGAGAGTGAGTGAGAGAGTGCGAGTGTCGTGTCCATGACGAGGGTGGCTGATCACCCTCCTCAGTTTTACTTGGGTCGTTGTCCCGCGGACAGCTCGGTCTGATATTCTTCTTGTTCTTGTCCTTTGTTCTTACGATTAGACGAAGGACCTGCAGTGCTCACTGTTTGCAATTGCTGAGTGCGAGAATCCTTGTCTTCCTCGTGCATGCTCCCGCCGTCCAGAAATCTTTGGTGAGTGATGCGCCTCTTCGAATACTTATCGCCGCCTTGGACGCGACACATGACCCGGTAAGATAAGCGAACAAGATAAGTCATATATTTCGATAAGATGGAATTAAATGTTTACATGTATTTAGCAACTGCTCTGTCTCGTGCTGCAAATCTTGGCAACTTTGGCCTTGGGTGAGTTTTCGATGAGGATAAGCTTGATGTATATTTATGGATAAGGGAGAAAGTTGCGATTTTTTAGAAATTTCGGAAATTTTCATAATTTTTGGTTCGATGTTAATTCCAAAGAAATATGCATACAGAGTTTACGAGAGAGAGAAAAAAAATGAGCAAAGTGAATATTTTTTTTCAAAATTTGTTTGACTTTCACTTCAAGATGCATTGAAGCACCTGCTTAAATTGAGGAGAAACTGACTTTTTCCGGATTATTCTTGTTTTTTAACGGATTTCCGAATTTTTTTGGTCTCGTACTTTTCATAAAAAAATGAAACCTGCATTTAATGGGCATCTTGTCTTTTTTGGTGGGGTTTCTCTCATGGAAAATCTGTGAGGCCAGTTTTCTTTGAAGTTTTTTTTATATGAAACTCTACCTTTGATTGAACCGTGCAGGTGCTGAACTAGGTTTCTGCACAGCACAGAGACAGATTTAGCTGATTTCTTATAAGAACGGTTTTTTGTCTCATATTTGTGACGGAATAAAGTAAAATTATAACACAAATTACAAATATTTCTTTATTTCAAAATTTGCATTTGATTGTCAAATTTTATAAATGTATTTCATTCATATCTTTCATTAAATTGATAAATTACAAATCAAAAAGTTAGTTTGGCTTCCATTTTCAGCCCTTTTTTTCTCTCTAAAACTTTAAAGGTTACACGTTTTTTGTCTCAATTTTGGAAGTAAACACTGATATTAATTCCGTTCTAAAGATCGATTAAAATCTAAAAAATTTTAAAATCTCTCTAAAAACGTAAATTAAATTTGTAATTAATCCGTGACCTTTTGACCTTTAGACCCCGCCCATCACAAAGCGTTGATGGACGCCGGGGTGGCGGACGCCCTGCCACCCCTGCTCCTTCCGGCGGACGAATTTTTCTACACGAACCATACGACTTTGTTTGCCCGATATGTGAAACATCACGCGGCCCGATTGCTCGTCTATTTAGGCCTCCATCACAGGTCGGCCTTAAGGATCAGCGTTTTCGACCTTATCACGGCAGGTTTGTGGAGTAAACATAATTTTTTTAATGAAATTTAAGCTTAACGTAGGACTGCATGGGAATCGTAAAAATCTGCGCAGTTTTAATGATTACTCGCTTGTTGGAACTTATTTTAAAATTCTAAACGATAAATTTGTTAAAAATTGAAATGTAAAATTTAACGTGGGACTTATCGTAAAAATCAGCATATTTTTAATCATCTCTGGGAACTTCATCTGTATTTTTAAATTCTGGCGAATTTGTAGAGCAGTTCGGTTCCTATTTAAAAAAAATACCCTCCAGATTTTGACACTTTTTGGCGGAGGAGATCTCAAGGTTAAGAAACCTTCAGAAAAATTGGAACTCGTCGAAACTCGAAACTTAAAAAACTCGACGCCATTCCATCGATCAACTCACTGAGGACAAATTTGTCGTTCAGAATTTTAAAATAAGTTCCCAGAGCGGAGAAATGATTAAAAATGTGGTAATTTTGGTGATGAGTCGTCAAGGGCTACGTTAAATGTATAGCGATTGATAATAACTTTGGTATTTTGTGAAATAAAAAAATTAGATTTTACACTAAAAAAAATCCTAAAAATTTGCATTGTCCAGACGAATCCACTATATCGAGTGGGACCTTGGGGAATGAAGACTTGTACATCACGTGGACCTGTGCCACGCCTCCGCCCGTGCTTGGCCACCCCACCCAAGGCAGCGGCGGACTGCCCCCGATCATTGCAATGTCCGTGGAATCAACGCTTATCAGAGTCCTGAAATCGCTCGAGGTAAAAAAAATAAGTGAACCGGGTAAAAAGAAAAAGTGGTCATTTCTTCTTTCATGTTGAAGTGGTGTCCACTTGAAAAACGAGGTTCGAGTCCATGTTTTTTTTATTCCAGGGTTTATTTGATATAAAAAAATACACCTTTTATTAAAACACCCAACAAAAATAATTAAATTTCCAACTAAGAAATAATTAAAAATTTCAATTCGAAATCTTGATCCTTGCTTAATTTAAATTTTACAATAAATAAGAAGGCATTTGTATTTAGTCAACAACCAATTTATTTATTTTGCAACACCTTTCATTAAAACACCCAACAAAAATAATTAAATTACCATAATCAAGAAATAATTGAAAATTTCAATTTGAAATCGTTATGCTTAATCTAAATCTTATTTATAATGAGGCATTTTACGCCAACCTTCGTATATAAGTCCGAAATCACGTAAACTTGAGAAATTAGGAACATCTCGTGGGTAATTTTTGCTTATGAACTTAAGAAAATACACAAAAGGTATGTTTTTGGTTCGTACGCTGATCTTATCCTTAGTAAACTTACATTGTTACGGAATTACAAAGACTGACTGACTGACTGACTTTGACAAAAAACCGTGGTCATTTCTTCTTTCATGTTGAAGTGGTGTCCAGTGATCCACTCAAGAAAATCGTGTAGACATGGTTTTGAGTGCATGTTTCTTATTTTATTTTTTTGTGGTTTTTTAGGGCGGCGGAGGTGCCCCGGGGTCGCCGTACTTGAGAGAGCAGCCTTCCAACTGGATGAACCAAAGTCCGAGTCGAAACTGCTTCAGCCCTGTCCTCCACTTCAGAAGACATTCCGCTGAAAGTAAGAAATTCACTGGGATGGAGTTCAGATCAATGTTTGTAACTTGGTGAACTGAACTCTGTAAACTTTTTGGTTATCCAAGTTTGCAAAGGTTACGAAGGAAAATCTTGTAAAAACGGGTAAACTATTTGGTTTACTCAGTTACAAATATATATCTGCTTTCATTTTACCGGAAGTAATAAATTGACTGAGACGATTCAGAGAGCAATATTTGTAATTTGGTGAACTTAATAAAATTTGGTTACCCAAGTTTGCAAAGGTTACGAAGGAAAACGTAAAACCTGGTAAACTACAAGCCTTACATGGTTTACGGAGTTACAAATATCTGCGTACATTAAGACTTATACAGTTTACTTCTGAGTTACAAATATCTACTTTCACCCTGGCGAAAGTACTGAATTCATTTGTATTCAGATCAATATTTGTAACTTTGCGTACTTAATAAAATTTGGCTACCTAAATTTGCAAAGGTTACGAAGGAAAATCTTATAAAGTATCTACAAGACTTACACGGTTTACCAAGTTACAAATATCCGCGTGAATTAAGACACAAGTTTCCCATTTTCTTTAACCCGTTTTTTCAATTATTTCAGGCCGTCGGGACAGCATGGGAGGCCCTGAGCTGGGTAAGTTTCTGCTAATACAAAAAATCTGAAAATTTCCGGGAATTTACTAACTTTTTTTCGGACAGACCCCGGATTCGTACGGACATTTCAAGCCTGTTACCCGGGCGTCGTGCACCCCACAATTTTACTTCGCCTCCTCCTCCACCGCCTGCTGAGTACGGGGCTGGCCCTGCGACGGTGGAAAAGTTGTGCGTCTCGAGCTTCATTTGCCTCCGCGTATTCCGGCCATTCTGGACACTCCATTTTTTCCGTCTTCTCCGGAGAGTCCAGAACCTCTCGCAGTCGAGCTTCTAGCACCGACGAGTCTGTACCTTTAACCCTGCGACGAAGAAGACAAGTATGTGAATGTGCATAAATTATGTGACGCAAAAATGCCAATTTTTGTCCGTGTCAAGCCGTTATCTGTTAATTTGACTATTCAATTTAACTATTTGATCGACATTTATGACGAATCTGTACCTTTAACCCTGCGACAACGATGACAAGCCTGGTGGTGTTTGCTAACTTATAAGGGACGTCTCCCAACGGATGCTCTCCGATTTTTGGCAAAGTAGTGTTAATTAAGGACAAAGTTAATTAGTATGAAACTTGCGAAAGACACGATTTCCCAATCGGCACGTTTTGCATCCGGAGAGGAGAAAATTCCATAAATTTTACACTTTCCAAATTTACTCTTTAAAAAATTCTGAAAATACAAGGTTTAAAAAATCCTATTCTTGCTGTTAACAAACTATGTATTTTTCTTGGTTTATTAATTAACTAATTAATGCAGGTCTCCTAGCATATGCTCCCAGATTTTGTGTAAATTAATGTTAATCGATGACAAGTTTGATTAGTAAGAAATTTGCGAAAGACGCAATTGAAATTTGCGATCTCCGGAAATAGGAGAAAAGGTGTAAGAGTGTAAAATTTGTCGACTTTACTGCGCGTCTTCTCCTATTCGGATGCAAATATTTCGGCCAAATGTGACCATTTAGAGGCGAAGAGCTTCGGGTGAAAGTAGAGAGGAGAAAAACTGCCCCGCAAACCCATAAATTTTATTTCCAAATTCATCCACGCTATTGATTTCTTTGGATTCAATTTATTTATTTACGGGCAGTTTTTCTCCGCTCAACTTTCACTCCAAGATTACAATCTAATCTGTACCCGATCCGTCGAAACTCGTGGTTTTCTTGAGAGAGAGAAAGGCTTGAAATAATTTCGGGGTCACAGTGTTTCATTCCTTTCATATTTGCCCCATTTCTTGCAATGCAATGCAAGCACTGTGAGAAATGCGAGATGCAAGAAACTGGGAGAAAGTGCAAGAAATATGCGCCATCTAGCCACGCGAAACGCGACCTATTTATCGTGGCAGGGCGTAGTTTCTCCCACCTTGCATTTCTTCCAGGTCAAAATGCACACCTGTAAAAACGGTTTCTTGCAAGTTTGCCACATTTCTTACACTGCAAATCAGGAAATGCAAGAAATTCGAGGTGCAAGAAACTGCAAAAAATATGCGCCATCTAGCCACCCGCTATATAAAGTTTTTACAGCAACTTTCTCCCGCCTTGCATTTCTCCTAGATTAAAATATTCCCCACTTTCTCCTCCTTATTTCTCCCAAGTGGTTACTTCCTCACCGAAACCCTGCGGCCCCTGTCGTATCCCGTGTAGCGTGTAAAACCCCCAAAAAAGAAACATTTCCTCCTTGTAAATTCAATCCAATTGAACTTGACTAGTAGTGGGACTTGACTCACTCACTCCGACCCCGAGTCACTCACTCACTTTCTCCTGCTTTCTCCTTGATAGATTTATTTTTTGTCAATTTGCAGGTGAGCTTGACGGTGGATTGTACCTCAGTGACAAACCCGGAAGGCGAGGATTCCTCGATTTTGCACGAATTGGAGGAAACCACGTCACCCGCAGAGGCCCGGGATGTCATCTCCCCCACGAAGAAGGGGGGCACGATTCGTGGGATATTTTCCAAGTGGCGGTCCTCCAGTCAAGAGGCCAGCGTGGACAAAGGGGACCCCGACGCCCACAGGCTCCTCTTGGCCGAGAGCGGAGGCGGCGGCGGCGGCGGGGGAGGGAAACAGAGGGAAAGCTCAATTTTTGGACTGCTCCCGCTCGCCGCGTTGAGGGCGGCGGCGTCCCGGGAGAATTTGGATGATGGGGGAAACGGCGCGAGTGTGGTGAACAGTCCGGGCGCGTCGCCGGGGGGGTCGCCGTCGTTCTTGTCGAAGCAGGTATGCATACACAAAGTCTGTACTAGGCAGAAAGAGAGGCAGAGAAATGTAACAAAAGGTGTTTATGTAAAGAATTTGAAACTTTGGGATAATTTTTGAAAATATTTGTAGAAAATTTTGTTTCCTATAGAATTTTTCGATATTTAACCTTTGTGACCTGTTATTAAGGGGTTTCATCTCTTAATATTTCATCTTTGGGAGGCCCCAACGAGGGTTTTCAGCATTTCTAGGATGCACGGACGGACACGACAAAAACCTTCTTCGGGGGTGGGGAGCCTCCTAAAGATGAAACAATGATGTTACTAAGGGATGAAACCCTTTAATAATAAGTCACAGAGGTCAAATGTCGAAAAATTTTCTATTAATGTTTTCAAAATTATCCCAAAGTTTCAAATTATTTGTATAAAATTTCAAGCACCTTTTGTTACTTTGCTCCCTCTCTCTCTTTTTCACGGGCACAGAGTTTGTGTCGCACAGTACACAAGTTTTTTTATATAATAAATCAGAGAAAGTCTCATTTAACCTGGAAAAAATTTCACTCCTTTCAGAGTTTCCGGTTTGGCAGCCTCCACCAAAAAACCAAGACCCGTCGCCTCAGTCGAAACCGTTCTTTAGACGTCGCTCCGGAAGTCATCTCTCCAAAAGACACCCCGGAAGAAGAAATCTACGCTTTTCAACGCCGCCTCCAAAACATTCCTGACTTTTCCGACACTTCCGTCGAACCCCCTTCACCCCCCGCGATTCCGCCCGCCTCGCCGCGCCCGCGGTCACGCTCCGTGCCAAAGGTCACGTTGGAAGCGCCGTTGCCCATTCTGCCGGGAATTTCGACGTCGCCGCCGCCCACGTCGCCCACGTCGCCATCCGACATGCCGTTTATGCCGTTGCCCTCGACGGCCCACCTGCTCAGCCCTTCCTCCCCGGTGCGGGGGTTCCCCACCTCGTTACCCCAGCCGATCCCCGCCCCCCCGCCGAGTCCCGGCTTGTTGACGCCACACTCGCCGAAAGCGGGGTCCTCGAGGGGTCCGAGTCCCTTTGACGATAAGGGATCGGCGGGAGGGGGGAGTGCGAATGATCGAAATGACAATAGTAGGAGGAACTCGGTGTCCCCCAGTTCGGGGGGGAGGAGACATGATAGCATTTTTATATCGGATATGCCAATGATGCACAGGGCGGTGTTGCTCTTTGTGGAAGTAAGTGGAGTTTGAGGGAGGACCGAGTTCACGTCAAATTTGTAACTGCGTTATGTTTATAAGTTTACACACATTTTTGTAAAATATTTGCTGCTAAGAAAATGCGTAACCTGCGTAGAAAGCACTGGGGCTTCCTTGTGAATTTTAGTTCGGTGCTAACACAGTTTTTGTGTCAGGTTATTCGAATTTTTAAAAATTGCAAAATTCTGGACTTGAATAAATCTATAGTTTTTAATTTGTAACTCTTAACAAGGCTAAAAATACAGGGTAAATTTTTCGATTTCTTAACAAGTTCGGTTTTTTCGAATGTGTTTAAAAATTCGAATAAACTAACACAAAAGCTGTATTATCATCGATATAATTCTACATTGCAAAAATTTTGACCCCGATTTCAACTGAAAATGCAAATATCAAACATGAATTATTTACGCACTTGAATTAACGAATTAACACCATGCTTTTGAAAGGCGTAAGTTTCGTAAAAGTTCGCAATTCAATTTTCCTTAGAAATGTGCGTAAGAGTTCGTAAGCTTGTACGAGATTGCAAAAGTTGGCGTGAATTCCCTAACTGTGTGTGGAAAAAACTAAATTTTGATTTTTCCCTCTGCAGGACTGGATAACTACGGCGCGACCGCAAGGAAAAAGTTGTGTGATTCGAGAGCTAAAAGACTTCGTGGCGCGGGTGTCGTCTTGTGGACCGCCGTACCTCCGCTGGGCCGACCATATCCGGATCCTATGCCCAGCCTTGGTCCAGGAGGAGGAAGCCCATGAAATCGAGTCGCTCGAAGCGATCAAATTAGACTATTGGGAGGTATCATGTCACGTGTCAAATAAATTTGCATATTTACTAACTCGATAACAATGGGTACTATTTAATTGATCATAATTTAACACTTTTTGCAACCATAATTACTACTTTTTTCCCGAAATTTCAGGATTTTTTTTCCCAAAATCTTGCTTAAAGAGCTTGGTTGACCAGTAAAAGCTTCCCAAGCATTTGTGTTTGGCTCAGAATTGTAAAATTTGTATTTTTTTAATGTGTAATTTTTTTAAATTTGTAATTTTTTTTAAATTTTAAATTTCAAAACGATCTAAAGGTGTAATATCACTCCTGGAAAAATCGAGTACTTATCGACAACGAAATACTTTATTTTATGAGTAAAAGAAGTATTTCTATAAAAAAAACTTGGTCGAGAGTAGTATTAAATTATGATCAGTTAAACTACCACCTTACTAAATTTGCATATTTACTAATGTTATTGTTTAACATTAGATGCAACGACTCGTTGTCGGGGGAAGTTTGCCGTGCAGCAAAGAAGAGGCCGCAATTCTGGCCGGGATGCAACTGCGCTTGGAGGAATGTTGGCCGCGGTCGCGCCCACCAAGACTGCACCACACGGGACCTGCCCCATCTCCCGCTGCGCCAAATACGCCAAACGTTAATGCCGACAAGATATCAAACACTCATCGAACGGAGGATGATAAGGTGCCACAAATTCCTAGTGGTCGTGAAACCGTGTGGGACATAGGGTCATTGGATGTCCCCATCTTATATACATCCCTGCCTTCCCTATTATCATACAATGTTAATGTCCCCCCGGCTTCCGCGGCCACTGATCGAGTCTTACATTAACGATTTTTTTATGTCATAAATTTAGTATTATTTAACCCTTCTAATTCTTTTAAATCTTTTAATTTAATTATTTACTAATTTTATCTCTATTTTTATTTTATTTTAAATTTGACAACCGATTTTCGTGACTAGTCATCAAATCCAGTGGCCGCGGAAGGGTATCGACAGAAGGAAAATGTCCCCACCTTTACTCGAAGTCCGCATCAACTCCCCATCTTATGCAAACCCGTCCCTTCTCCCTATCCTACAATATTAACGCTTCCACGGCTTCCGCGGACACTGCAAACCCCACTTCGTTAAATTATACCTCCAATTAACCCTTAACTATGTGTTTACAGGACTCTGCCTCCATCCCACTCCTCTCTGACCGCTCAAACCCATCCCGCTCCCTCGCGACAACATCCGGCGGCGGCGGGGGTGGGGGTACCGACTACCCCATCGAACTCCGCGCAGACGCCGAACTCCACGCGGACGATCCTCCTCCCACCGCCGCCATAAAACGGTCCGGAATGGGGCGTGCCGTCTCCCTGTTGACCACGTGCTACTCATCCTCCGAAGACAACGAGATGTCGCTATCCGCCTCCGCCAGGATTGACGACTTGGTCCCACCCTGTTTCGTGCATGCTGGAAATATGCCGAGATTAATTAAGGTAAGCAAAAAAATTTTCAAAATTTCAAAATTTTCAAAATTTTATAAGTTTTTTTATATTTCTTCTTCGTATCAATGAACTTTATCAAGTTCAGTAGCAAAATTCAATGCGATTAAACTTGAACTCGGATAAACAATGGGCCATACAACAGTTTTCCAGACAGACAGACATTGCAATTTGCAGTTGGCAAATAATTTGCTTGGCAAAATGTGGCCAATTTTAGTCTGCTTTATGAAAGTTGAGCCCGACCATCAACTCGTAAATTCACATCTATTATTTCACTTTGGCTGGACACATACATTCGCACGTTTTTGAGACTCGCAAAAAATTCGCGTGTCCTGTTCATTCATTCGGTTTTTTTGGGTCTGGGATACCGTACAAGTTAAGTTTTTCATACATTTTTAATTAATTCGCATTAATAACGGCATCATGGTCACGCTAATAATTTGATTAAAGTGCATAATCTGGCAAAATAAAATTTTGTCGATTTATTTCTTGGGTAAATTTGTGAACAAAAGTGTCCCAGTTTTTTTTACGAAATCTTGCAAATTTCGCAAAAACTTTGCGATATTTTTGGCAAGTTATACGAAAGTGAGTACGGCTACTTATGTCAACGTATATTATTTGATAAATAATCTGGCAAAATAAAACTGTCGATTGATTTCCTGGATAAATTTGGGAACAAAAATGTCACTGTTAAAGTATTTATGAAAGAAATGTTGCAAGTTTCGCAAAAACTTATGGTAATAATTTGCGATAATTTTTGCAAGCTATGTGTATATTCGGAGATGAGTAAGTATTCAATTCACGGCGTCATATTCTTCTCCATTATCGAATGGGATTGAAGGTCGACTCCTTTTTGTCCATTTCTCGTCACAACAATACTAAATATTTATTTATGTTGCAAAAAAATTGAGGAGTTTGCAAATTTTAATGACACCTCGGTACTCCCCACTTGTTTATGAGTATCAACCATTTCCTCCTCTTCTTCTTTGGTGAGTCGTAATTCGAGATGCATTTTCTCAGAAATCCAGTCCAGTCCAATACTTATTTAAACAAGTTGCAATTATATTTATGGATTAACTAACCAACAAGCCAGACTGTATTAAAAGTAAGTTAAGGTGCTCTTGTATGAGGGTTTTGAATTTGAATTTGAATTTTCTTTCTTGGATGTATTCAAATGGCGATTTTGAAACGTGTCCATCACGTTTTTTAAAAACTAAAGATTTTATTCTAATCTAAAAATCAATTATCAATTTTTTACGAAATTTCGAAATTTTACTCGAAAAATCAATTTTATTGCATTTAAAAATCAATAATTTGTAGGTTTTAGGTTTAGAAGGTTAAAATTTTGATTTTTTTCTTCCATGCGAAATAGACATAAAAAATATAGATAACAATAAGAAAAAAATTAAATATTTTCTCGTGGAAGAAAAAATAAAAATTTTAACCTCGTAAGTTTGTAAACTTCAAAATTATCGATTTTTAAACCCAATAAAATCTTCATTTAAAAAACAGCACGCAGGAGATGTATACGTTTCAAAATCGCCATTTAAATCCATGCAAGAAGGGAAAGTTAAAACACACCAAAATTCAATTTCAAAACCCGCATCCAATCGTACCTTAATTATCCATCCACTGAATCGATCGGTGTGCAAGTCAAATATATGTGGACGACTTGAAAGAAACCTGATTCAATTGAGACATCACATCGTTTCAATTACATTCCCACTATTTGCTCAAGACTCGTGGAAACTTGTGTAGTTTTTAGAAATTAAATTTTCCTCCACGGAATTGAAGTGGTTGTCAAATTGAGTCCAGTAGTTGGTGATCTTCTCATTTTTGAGACCCTGACGTGGTCAGGGTCAGGTTCATGATTACGAAGACGACTCAAAAAATAAGACGTCCCCTGCACAAGATTGGATTGGATTAAGGAGAAAATAAGCAAGTTTGTTAACGTTTTTTTTGGCAGAAATTTTCGTTCCGTAAGCTAATCTTTTTTAAATTGGTTTACTTGGTTGAATTGGTTTAATCAATTAAAAATTTCGAGAAATACAAATAAAAATCGGTAAAAATCTACCTCACTTAATATAGTTCATGTCACCTATTAGTTTTTTTAAGCAAGTTTGTTAAAAAAATGTTTACCGATGGAATTTAGTAGCTGATTAGATTTTTAATTGGTTTACTTAATCAATTAAAATTTTTGAGAAATACTATAAAAAATCGGTAAAAATCTACCTGGCTTAATATCCACCCAGACTTTACATAAGTCATCAATCTGATTTTTTTTTGTATTTTTTGAAATGTTTAATTGCTAACCCAATTTAAAAATCTAATTGACGTAAAGTTGTATTAAATGCAGTAGATTTTCACATATTTTCTTTGCACTTATTGAAATTTTGACTTATTATATGTATATAGTGTGACACGTGTCTAATAGAAGGTTATCTACTGTAGATAAGCTGAAGTATTTAATTAACACATATCCTTTGGGCAATATGTAACGGGTTGATATTTTAATTACTGTCTCGTTTTTTGCATAACATGGTTAATAATTAAGTTAAATACATATGTAATACAAGTCTCAGAAAGGGAAGATATGTATTTCTGTAAGTAAACATAATCTCAAATTACGACAGTGAAGATGCTTATCTCGAAATTAAGTAGATCCATTGTTTTCGCTCATATTTAATTTAACGCTTCTCTGAATTAAACAAAGGCCATCAAAGTTTTAATTGAGCTCATGCAGTCGAGTATTTATTTAAGTACGTATTTATTCATTACGTTGGGCCTACTCAAGTCAATTTGTCGTATTTCGCGTAATATCTCAAGTAGCAAATAAGTAGTTTGCGAAATAATGTGAGTGAGCATGCTTTTCCAGGAAAAGAGTTTTGTGTGTGCGAAATAATGGGGGTATGCATTACGAATTCTGTTGTAGAAATTAAGTTCGCAAAAAATTTTGGCTCGATTTTCGCAAATTCATTTGCGAACTTGCACATCTTCGAGTATCTAGTTCGTAAAATAAGAATTCTGAAGTAGTAATGAATACCCCGAATTTTCAAAATATTGAGAAACTTGAGCCCTGCTAAATCTAAAAATTTCTAATATCACATCAATTTCACGAGTTTTGAGATAAATCAAACTTTTCATACGGTACAACTAATTTTTGCTACTAAAAAAGTATCGATTAAAAAAATAGCGATCTCATTTTTGAGAAAATTTATTATAAAAAAATTGCAAATGAATTAGCAATTTTATTTTTAAATCGATACTTTTATAGTACCAAAAATTAACTTTACATTAAACTATGAAAGGCGAATTTGTCTCAAAACTCTCAAAAAATTGATGTTATTTAAGAAATTTGCAGAGATTTAAAGAGATTGAACAGGGGTAAACTGATATTAAAAAATCTGTGCCAGAGTAAGTCCACCTTAAGCAGTAATGTAATGAATAGGCATCAGTGACCGCGGAAGGGTGGGGACAATTTCTCCTTGACTATTCGAATTCCACATCATCTGCCCATCTTAACATGTAAATAAACCCTCACCTCCCCCATTCTTCAATATTAATATCCCCACATGTCCCCTCATCTTCCGCGGCCACTGACGACCATAAATTAAACACATTATTTATCAAGTACGCACGTGGAAAGCCTCACGAAATCATTTATTATTTTAATATTCATCTTCCCTTTGATCAAAAAGGAAAAGATGGCGAAATTCCTGGCTCCATCTCCGCCGCCGTCGACGACCTGTCAAGCGAGCACAAGTTATCTCATTTTGTTGTTGTCTCAGAAGACAAAAGAGATTCTTCTTCACCTGCAATAAACCGCGTGGTTCTTGTTGTTTATTGGTTTCTTTGATGAGATGAAAGGCAAAGACGTACGGACGGACGGAATCAGTTCTGGGGGAGGCCGACGGCCGACGTGACGTAATCTAGATTTTGGAATGGTTTTGACTTGCAAAAATAGGGTTCCTACTTGTTTAGATGATGCTGTTTTTTATATATGTATTGTGGTGAAAATCGGAATTTGTGCATTTTTTTTTAAGTTGGAAACTTTTACTTGGTTAAAATAATCGAGAAAAGGTAAAATATTGGCATAGAGTGGGAATTATTGAGTGGCAATTGGTGGGTGGCATTGGCTAAGGGTGGCGATTCGAGGGTGGCATTCGCAAAGGGTTGCAATTGTTGAGTGGCAATTGGTGGGTGGCAATTGTTGCACATAAATTGACACCGAATTCACGCTGACAATGGAACCTTTTTCAATATAGACCTGGATTTTGTAGCGAATTATATCAAAAAATCGAGCCAAAACTTACGACTCACGTGACACTTATTTTTCCCTTGAACTGCCCCATGCAAATTTTAATTTTTGACCAAATTTTCTCTAGCTTTTTCCTCCACGTGGCGAAAATCAAGGCGCACTTGTGACCTTTGCCTCTCAATATTTTCCCCTCCCCATCTCGCGTTACATAACTTACGAACGGCCCCTCGTGAAATAAAGTTTAACACAAAAACCACCGCTTGTTTCTTTTTTAAATTTCCCACCCCCCATTTTCCGAACCCTTCTTAAAGAAAATAATGACAAGAGAGAGAGTCCTCGTCTCCTGGAAAGTTTAGTTTGTGACGGGCACATCTTGAGTGAAAGTCTTCATCCTCCTTTCTCTCCCACTCGTCTAATGACATACACGCGGAGGATACAAACTTTTAGAAGAATTTGATACACAGGACTTTTTAATTACGTGGAGAGAAGCCCCTGTATACATAGTTCCGAACGAGAAATAGCAGACGGTTGATGATACACGTATATAATTAATGAAATACTTTCGACTTCCTTCTCCTCCTCGTCCCTGGTTTCCTGCCTTGATTGAAGGCAACAAAGTTGTTAAAGGGTTATTTTCCCTTGTTGTCATTCCTCTACTGCGAAACAGTTCCGTGTCCTGGGTGCAGTGGCCGCGGAAGAAGGTGTGGGGACATCTGGGGACATTGCTATTGTAGAA